GAAATGTACCCATTTCACCGTTACCTTCAATTTGTGGTCTGCAGTTTTTGATGTTTTTCTGGATATAAGCAGGACATAATTACCTAAGGTGCTATTAGAGCTTTTGCCAAAATTTTGTCTTTGCGCAAGAATTATGGTGGGTTGAAATGCTTATTAATTGTTCTCAACTTCTTGATATTTTAAAAAGATCCTAGTGGATAAAATCGAAAAAGTGGATCGTTAGCACCCTGTGGACTTTGTTTTTAGCACGCTGCAAGAGTTTCATTTGGAAATAATCAAAAATCAAACGTAAGCTGTGAAGTGCAAATCGGTTTTTGGACGAAATTCGTCCACTGTTTCGTCCTGCCAGTCCAAGCGACGCGACGGTGCGTTCCGACTAAAAAAAATGTATTCAAATAATTTGATATCTTTCCTAAAATAAATTCAAGAACTCAAATTAAAATTCGTTTATTCACGTCAGTAAACACAATTATGTTTACAAGGGTCATGTCGTACATGGTAACAATTGAACGAGGGTCATAAAAATATCTTATGCCGTCAAAATAAGAGGAAACAGTTAGGAAGTTTTTGCAAAGCAATAAACAGGTAGGCTAATACCTGGATTAAGTACATTTCTTGTCTAATGTAATAGGTAGATGGAGGCGATGCTGCCAGATATGGATGTGTGTGATCAATAAACAAACCACAAGACTGAACTGCGGTGTCCAATGATTTTTGTATTGCATTTTTTATTGCCTTACTAGAAAAGTCTGTTGGGTATATGATGGAGTTTACTAGAACTTTACAGCTTGTTGTCTGCCTTCTACAAACTTCATCAAATCGAGACGCTTATCCTCCGATGAAGGCGCGACAAAGTACCCTGTGATTTGGTGACTTGTCCGATATGCAAAATCTCGTCGTCACTTTTTTTAAGTTTCTCTAAAAATTTTCGCTTTGCAACCTCCAAATCAATGTAGTTAATGGCAGGTTTTTAATTGAATTCGCCATAAAACTATTCATTTTCTTTGGAATTGCTATCCGAATTGTTAGTTATTTTTATATCAGCTTTTTTTGGTCTGAGTTTCTTTTCAAGATGCTTGCGTTTGAGTCTTTGTGCCATCTTAGCGATAAGCGAGGTTAGACTAAGCTTAGAACGCAAATGTATTTAGACCACATATACAGGCCGCTGGGTATTGTGGCTCACTACAGCTGCAGCACATCTTCCATGGTATGACCTCTTCTTGCAATAATTTATTCGCTTACCCCAATGTATTTTGCGATTATACTGTTGAACTGCTCCACATTATTGTTGATCTCATCACTGCATTTGTAATTAAAATGGTCGCATATGACCCTTTATTGTCCATTATCAGCCTTGATAAAAAAAGACACTCAAGAACAATCGCACCAACAATTCAACAACACAATATCGACGAACAGTAACAAGAGGAGAAAAATACTAAATGATCACTTGCCGAGTACCTAGATAAGAAACGATTTACATTCTAGATCGCTAATCGAAATCCGACTCAGTTATTATAAAAATTTACCTTGGTATGCACCCGCAGTCATCCTTTCCTCGTTTCCTTTTCACCCCCCCGTTACCTCAGCACATGGTGCTCGTGATTGTAGGAGCCCCGTTAAGACCTTTTTTTCCAATGTGCTTTTTTTACTGAAAACGCTTCATTTAAGGTAGATGCGTAGTCTGGGTACACACCCTAAGTCAATACATGACTTCTTCAAATAAAACCGCGTTATCGACATTAACAAATAGAAGTCCGGATGGTTATTAAGTAAAAAACCTATATAATGAAAAAAAAACGATAAAATGTCAACTTGTTGACTATGTACGCTAGTGTGCAAATACATAGTTCATTCCGCGCTTGCTACAAGTGATAATGAAGTGAACGACAGCTAGTTTCAAGATGACGTCTTATAGTTGAACCTACATAATGTCATAAAAACCTACATAATCTCAACAAAAAAAATACATAATGTCACTTTTCAAGTTACGTAATACCCCCGCCGGACTAAGATGATTTTTACATGAACGACATGTGGCTACATGAACGAGTCGTTTCAAAATTTGAAAGGTTCTTGATTTGTTTGAATGAACATGAACCAAAATTCCAATTTTAAATTCACTAACTACAAAAATAATGTAACAATACAATATCCACTATGTGTTATCTACTTTTCTTGAAATCACTTATTTAGGAGATTTCCTGATTCCTAATAAAACCATTGACTCAATCTTCCTCATTTGTATGACTGAGAGAATACCTTAAATATATGCTAGATATTTTAAAAAGAGCTAACCGTATAGACAGAAATGGAATTACACGCACAACACCTATTGTTTTGAAAAAATGCATTTCGGTGTCATGGTCTTTTCGCGAGTATCCATTATGTTTTGACTTCTACTGAGGTGAACAGCTGATCAGCAAGTGACAGGACCGTATTCAAAATTGTTTATACCAGACACAGTCAATAGCTACCTTGTTTTATTCCTACCCGACCTGAAGTATAATCATGAGCAATTAGCATACATATTTCTTGTAGCATCTTTTCTTGTGTGAGAAGGAACTTTTATAAATAAAAGCGTTGTTAGGGCGTATGAATTCAGTTTCGTCAGAATTGTGTGTCACTCTCGACATGGGGTATTTTGAAATGTTTTTGAGTACTTATTGGTTATTTCACCATGGTCAACGATAAATTGATCTCTTGTGTACAGGAGCAGCTTTGGGATATGAGAACGAAAGTCAAACTAGCTACAGAACCCAACACTACCATAAGTAGTTTTTTATTCTTACGTGGGTAACATTCTCCAAATAACATTTCAACCCCCCCCCCTTTATCATCCCTACTGATACGCTTCGTTCTCCGCCATTTAACATCAGTAATTTCAGTTTATATCGGCTGGTCGGAGTCCAGATCACCGAGGACCTGATCTGGCACGAACACATCAACAGCGGCAGCTGCTGGGAAAAATCTAAGCTATTTGTTTAGGACTAAGAAGTACTTTTCTCTACATGACCTCCTCACTCTGTACAAGGCCCATTATCCATGCTCGATGCTGCCCGACTGATCGATGACTCTTCTGTAACAGACAGTCCCGGGACCTTTTCAGACCGGCAGGCCGTCGGCGATCTAGCTCTCTTCTACCGCTTCACGAATGGGCTTTGCCCATCAAAGCTCTCCTCCATGATCTGCCGTACAAGTGCCTGACAGACAGACCAGCCTGAATTCGTACATCCATAACTGGCCGATACGACCGCTCCTTTGTCCTGGGGTGTCGAGATTGTGGAACAATCTACAAGGGGATCACCAGTTTCTTTTGTCCTGGCATTTAGGCTTCTGCTTGCGCGGCTACTTCGGAGAACAAAAGAACAGTGTAACAGTCTTGTTCTGACGAGGATCTCGGACGTACTCGTCAGACCAAAATTTCAGAATTAGCATCCATAGTAATCGTAGCCTTAGCTAGAAATAATTGCTGACAATCGAGGTAACATTGCTCCGACAGACAATGGAACTGAATAATCGCCATGGTATTTTTTCTATATGAAACCTTTCCAGTGATTGATGATTTATCGCTATTAGGTCGAATAACTAAATTTACGATCCCTCCTCTTTTCAGCTTGTATTCCCAAAATATGTGACAGTCCTGTGAAGAAAGGCAGGGCGCCATCATTTTCATTTCACGACTAACATTTACCAGGAAAATCACAGTAAAACTATTTTTGACTGTGATTGTACGCACACGCCATATCTGGACAGTAACACTACAGACAGTGGAAGTGAACAATGGAAATTGTGCCGGAAGCAGGCATGACAAAGTAACCATAACAATGTAATGATACCAACAAAAAATACAGGGTGCTGGCCCGATACGCCACCAGCGTTGCCAGATGGCTCAACAACACTCCAAAATGGCAACACTTTCAAAAAGAGTCCCCATAATCACATTATTGGGAAAGGAATCCTCGAAACGTGTGATTTATAACTTTATAAAAACAAAATTTATTTGTAAAACCTGTAAGTTGTCCCCTAGTTGATTAGCTTTCAGGACCCTAGTCGGGAGATTTAAACGATTGATCAAAAAGGAACTATCAGTTTGTAATGTGTCCTAATGTTAAAGTACTTAGTTATGTTTTTGCGCCGAGGTTGCGCATGACCGCAAAACTATAATCGCATTCACCATGAGTTGTGTAATCGCACTTTTTTCCGAAACAAGAGGGAGACAAGAATAGCTAGATCAACCAGCTATTCTGTTCTTTCTTGCAACATAAATTGAAAACACTGTGTGTCTTGTCAGAAGTGGACACTTTAGCGTGGGTACAAATGGAATAAAGACACAAAGTCCCAAAAAAATCCCCAGAAAATTATATCCCCCAAAAATTACTCAAGGGAAGTAATAATCCCTCAATGGGTCAAACCTGTGCGACTCGCTATTGTGATCATAGACAAAGCAACCCGTGCCTGCACCAAACACGTCGGGTAGGGATAGAAGGGATATTTCGATTAGGGTATCTGATTTTTTTAAACCTATGCAGCCATGTGCCGTGACTCACTACAAGGAAAGTTGTCTCCTGTGAATGTTCAAAATTCTCGACGGTTTAGCAAAGGAACAAAGTTGGAGATACAGCTCTTGAGTTATGAGGAATGACCAAGTTAGAATTGGAAGAATGTGAAGTTTTCATGTAATAATTTATCTCTCAGAAAAGGGCACTGAATAATGTATTTTTTAAACGGAACACCCTGTATATCTTCAGAAAAAATCATAATAATCCTTTCTTCTGATTAAAAATATATATGGTTTATCTTACTTATTTCGGCTCTGTGCCTACGGCCTGACCGTTGAGATTACGTTCCCTATCTACAGCTCCGGAGTCAGTATGTGTGCGTCTCTAGTCCCCCTTACCTTCGTCCTCCTCCCCTTTCTGTACGCCCATGCTCCTTGGAGCGATGCGCGCGCTGGCTAGTGGCGAGCGATTCCCCGCTCGCCCTTCAGTACGCTTTTATCTATCGCACGGATAGGGTGTGTGCGTGTGCGTATGTGTAACATCGCGAGTTAAACGTTGTGTAACGTTCGAGAGAATAATAGTATAAATGCAAAGGTAAGAGACAATTTAGTGTAGATGGCTACCATTTGATATAAAATTGTCACGGTCTCGGATCACTCGGTCCAGACGTGAGACTCCCTTCTAATGCATCTTGGGCAAATTCGCTAGAGCATAATATGGGCACTTGTGTGCAAGCGCACAATGCCCATTCATAGGAAAATTGAAGGGAGTCCTGCAGCCGGATCCATCTACACAATGTTTCGGCCCGACCGGCCCGTCAAGTCGGCCCGACCAGCTGCAGACTTCGGCCCGACCGGCTGCAGACTTCGGCCCGACCGGCTGCAGACTTCGGCCCGACCGGCCGCTAAATTCGGCCCGACCGGCTGCGAATTTTGGCCCGACCGGCCGCTACGTTCGGTCCGACCGGCTGCAAATTTTGGCCCGACCGGCTGCAGAATTTGGCCCGAACGGCTGCAGATTTCGGCCCGACCGGCTGCATTTTTGGCCCGACCGACTAACTAATTATAGCACATCTGCTTCCAGATGGCGATGGCAACCAATTTTGTTACTCTGGGTGAACTCTGGTCCAGCCACGTTGAAATGGAGGAAGAAGATGAAGCGATATTTTCCAGAATCAAGGTCTTAATAGAGAACCAAAAATTCGCTTCGCCCTCCCCACATTGGAACTGGTGAAAGCATTCTACCCAGAAGCAACATCGGTGGGAGAGAAAACCTACCGAAATACATATAAAATTGAGGCTTCTCGACTGGAACCTCTGTAGAGCATTGATCATGAGCCCACGGCAGGTAGCGTGTCAGTTACGAGGATCTATGGCTCAAGCGGAGCTCTTTAATAAGGCGGTGGAACCACTTAAACATACTATGCGTTCCAGAGAGCTGACGTCGGAGGCCCTTTCAATTTTACGTCCCGAAGTAAAAGGAGACGGTGTCAATCGTCCAGCTCAGACGACGAGTATTGTCTTCGAGCTCGGAGGAGGATGTCAATGAGACAAGGCTACGCCGCGTGGAAAGCATGGTCGAGAATCTTTACCACTTGGTCTCAGGAAATAAAGAGAACGATGGCAGCGTCATGAATTCGACGTGGCAAGCTCCAACTCCTACAGGTGAAGAGCTGTATGACGCCGACAGTATTGGCACATGTGGCAGCGTAAACGACTGGGACACGTTTTCCCCTGTCACTAGGGAAATCGAGCCTACAGTCCCTAGGGCGGACCCAGTAATCGAGACACAGGGCATGAAATGCCAGCGTTTCGGGGAAGAGACATGGAACAAGATTCGTTACGTGGACGCTCAGAAAAAACTCCACGCATCACCAGTCTTCAGTACTCTGAAGGTTAACTCATCCTTGTACAACAATGGACATGCAAGCCCAATGACAGATATGTTATCCAAAAGTGACCTGGCCTTCGGGACTATCTCACACGGTCTACTGAAGCAACGGAGAATCATACATGAGGCTCTGAAGGAGGCGGGGAACAAACACCCGGAAGCGGCAGACAGTTTAAAAAAAAAAAAAAAAAAGTTTTTGCTGCTAACAGTGAATACAAGACCATCTCGGACGACCTGCTGCAGTTCGTTTGCGGAAAAAGGGCGGAAATCATCGAAAGTCGCAGGAAACTATACGAGCCTAAAAGTAGTTACTATAGGTCCATCGTCAATGAGATTCCTCCGTCAGGTACGCACTTGTGGGATGAAGAGCAGCTGAAAGATGTGGTTAAAATGCATGGAGTGACGAAAATTGCTCCTGTCCGCTGGCAGAGTAATTTGGGAAAAGTCGCACTGAGACAGAAGGTGCCTCAAGGAACTTTTCATGAAAAGTATCTGCGTCAAGATTCATTTAAAAAAAAATGAAGAAGGCAGAGTTTAAGCATTCGCGTAAGCCGGGGGCGAAAAGTCATACCAAGCTAGCTCGTAAGGAGCAACCACCTTTAGAGAAAAGGCGGAGTTTTTGACAGTTTTCAGGCAGGACAACTCGCCAAATATGTCTCTGCTTGGAAAAGTATGGGAGCCTCACAATCGATTCTCAGTATCCTGAAAGGCTACGTGATCCCTTTCTCAATAAAGCCACCAATAACAGTACTATCCCAACCGATACTAAACAAATTCGAGACACCAGCATCCACACAAATGGATCGAGAAATACAAAACCTCATAAATCAAAAGGTGGTAGTAAAACTGCAAACAAAAACAGGTTTCTTATCAAAGATGTTTTTGACGCCGAAATCGGGGGGCTTGTGGAGACCAGTGTTCAATCTAAAAAAGATTGAACAGCTTCATCACGCCCAAGAAGTTCCGCCTTATGAACCATCGCAAACTGCCATTATTTCTCCAGGAAAGAGATTATATGGTAAAAGTCGACCTTTCTCAAGCATATTTCCATTTGCCAATAAAGCAAAAGCATTGGCGTTATCTGGGACTTTATTACCGGCAAAACATCTACGCTATGACAGCACTACCATTTGGCCTAAGCTCCGCTCCACAGGTGTTTGAAAAAGTTACGAACTGGGTGGCGAGCTACTTGAGGAAACAAAACATTCGAGTAATGGTCTATTTGGACGATTTTTTGATCGCTAACCAGAATCCAGAAGAACTAAAGCGAGAGGTATCCACCCTGATAGATACTCTCATAAAGCTGGGTTTCTGCATCAACCTGGAGAAGTCCGAAATAAGACCTACACAGAAATTGGCATATCTAGGTATTATGTGGAACACCATAAGAAATCAAAAGAGTTTACCGGAGGACAAAATCCACCGTCTGCAAACATCAATCCAAGCTGGAATCAAGAGCAAGACTTGGAGCTGGAAGCAGGTAAAGGCACTGCTAGGGAGAATGGAATTTGCCTCGTTTGTTATCCCATTGGGTCGACTACATTGCAGAAAGATACAAAGAGCAGTCAATCGGATGTCAGAAAACCAACCAAAGAAACTGTTCAATATAGACCTGGACGTATTGCGAGAGCTAAGATGGTGGGAGAAAAACTTAAAAGGGTCATCCATAATCTGCATGAAAGAACCGGAAGTTCATATAATAACCGATGCCTCAAACACGGGCTGGGGAGCCCAAGTAGGAGACACTTTGAGGAAAGGAAACTGGACAGAGCAGCAGGAAAAGTGGCATATCAACAAAAAAGAAATGTTCGTGATCTACTTAGCGCTAAGAAACCACCTAGATCGATTGGCAAACAAAACACTGTTAATTCAGACGGACAACAGGACGGTGGTTTCCTACTTGAGAAATCAAGGAGGAACCAAGTCGGTCACGCTTTTGGCATTGACCAGGAAGATCCTGGAGCTGGCACATCAATACAGTATGTCTCTGAGAATAGAACATATTCCAGGAAACTACAATATTGTGACCGACCACCTATCCAGAGGAAAGGATCTGCCAGACTGGCACTTATCAAGGATAGCTCAGAAGAGGATCTTCGAAAAGTGGGGAACCCCTTGCATCGACCTATTTGCGACTCCAGAATCAGCCGTCGTTACAAGATTTGTAACGCAATTCCCATGCAAGGAGGCAGAATTCGTCAACGCATTTACAAGAACGTGGGAGTACAAGCTAGCGTGGATATTCCCTCCTCCACCCCTAATACCAAGAGTTCTCCAACACCTCAACTATTGTCAGGGAGTTTTCATAATGATAGTCCCCAGGTGGGAAAGGGTGTTCTGGCGGCCCCTGCTGAAGAGACGTGCCATCGACCACCCGTTCACCATTCGGAATCTGAAGGCTCACCTGGAAGATCTTCAAACCAACCAGCCTCCTCCAAAGGTAATGGATTTACACCTGGAGGCATGGAAGATACGGGGTGGTCCGATATAGCGAATCACTGGTCAAAGGATGAAAGGAGAATCTTAGAAACATCCTGGCGCAAGTCAACTCTCAAAACGTATGCCGTTGCATGGAAAAGTTGGCAATCGTGGGCGAAGAAAAGAAGAGTTTCAGTTAAAAATCCAAACCCCACGCAGGTGGCTCAATACCTCTGCTTCCTACACAACACAAGAAAATTGGCGCTTAGAACGATCCTATTACATAAATCCACCATTGCGACATTCTCCAATCCACTACATAGTGAAGGAGTTTCCAGTAGCCCAACAGTGAAACAGGTAATTAGAGGTATTGCAAATGCAAATCCTCCAGCAACTAGGCCAAAGATTTGGAACATCGATAAACTTCTATCTTGGATTAATGATAACCATCCAGATACGAATAGTATCTTTCAAGTGGCCCGGCTGCTATCATCGGGAAGGAGAGTCCATGACTTGACACTCCTTCGAATAGATTCTGGTTTCCTTGAACAAACCGAAGAATACATAATTTTCTGGTCACAACATGGATCTAAGACAGACAAGCATAACTACGTCCAGTCAGGCTGGAAACTCCTCAAAAATCGAGAATGCATCTGGGATCTAGTACACTGGACAACCATATATCTAGAAATATCAGAAAAGAGAAGGAACCTCCACTGTCGACCGATTCCTCAACTATTCGTCACAACTCGTGGGAAGATAGGACCGGCATCTCGGTCAGTGATAGCAGGATGGGTCCGCACAGCGTTGAAATCGGCAGGTATAGAAGGAGGAGCCGGCAGTACCCGCTCGGCAGTGGCAACATCCCGCTTCAATGATAACATGCCATTGGATGAGGTTTTGCAGAAAGGAAATTGGCAGGGATCAAGCAATTTCTTCAAACCATGTCACAGTACGCTTTCTAACACCGTGGCGCGCCGGCAGATTGTAAACACTTCTCAACGGTCAGGCCGTAGGCACAGAGCCGAAATAGAACAATTTTCCCCCTGAAGGGAAGAAAATTGATATTTCGGGTCTTGCCATAGGCCTGACCTAGGTAACGCCTTGCCGGCGCAAGAGTACTGAAGGGCGAGCGGGGAATCGCTCGCCACTAGCCAGCGCGCGCATCGCTCCAAGGAGCATGGGCGTACAGAAAGGGGAGGAGGACGAAGGTAAGGGGGACTAGAGACGCACACATACTGACTCCGGAGCTGTAGATAGGGAACGTAATCTCAACGGTCAGGCCTATGGCAAGACCCGAAATATCAATTTTCTTCCCTTCAGGGGGAAAATTGTTCTATTTTCATAATGTTGTAAAAACTACAGTATCAGTATTTTCAATGGTTTGAGTATTTCCTACTAATAATCCCATCAGTTTTGGACAATACTGGCGAATCTTTTCGCATTATATATATACGTACAACAACTGAATAGGTTTCAGAAAATACATTCATCCAATTTTATATTTCAAGACCCATTCAAGGTTTTCAATGAAATATGAATTGAAGCCTTATTGTAATTCCATAAACAAGCCCGTATCTGCGTGAGTATATGTACTGAATTGTATAACTCCATACAATATTCTTGTAATATAAATAACCGCACAAATATCCTTCTGTTCCAGCAGTAGAGTAGTACATGTCTATCATAATGGCACTCAGCTTTCAACTTTAAACACCGTACAGGAAGCCAGCTAAACAATTGACCCATCTTTCTCTTAGCATAGTAATTTAAAATTACACACCACAAGAGATCCCATATGAAAAATATTCCATTGTGTACTTGTGAGACTACTTTGTTCCTCTGTGTGGTTATATCCACACAATATATTTGTTTTTTTATCAGATTTGCGCGGATATTGTATTTAATTAGCGCGAAATGGTTGAAGAGGTTTTGTTAAATAATTAAACATTTTGATTCCAAGTTCTGCAGTACAATCCTCTGGTTTTTATGTTCATAAAAACAACAGGCTGAAATATGGCATTGTTGCAAGTTAATAGTACGAGTAGAACTCAATTCACAATCTCTCAAGTTTTATGCTCTCTTAGGTTGTTGTGCTGGTGAGGTTTGGATATTTCAGATTCACGACAATTTTGGAAAACGTATACCTACTTACAACACGAGATGGTTAGAGTGCAGCATTTCAATGTCCAAACTCGTCATCATAAGAAAGCATATCGCTTCTCGCTTAGGAATTAAAGACACTTTGCAAACATCATGTTTTTTACTTCCTATGCCACTGGCGAGGAAGAATTGTAATAGCAAAAAATTTCGAAAATGAACTAATTTTTTTTATTTGATGTTATATGACATGTCGGTCTGTCTATCTGTCCGCTAATCCTTAACCTGACAATAACTTGGAAAATACCGATCGGATTTCAATGAAATTTATGACAAACTTTTCTTCCTTCCCGGGAGTCGTCCTACCAAAGCCCCCGATTGCACCTCAGCCAGGGATGTACATGACACATAACAACCAAAAAATATAATAACTCACTTTCGAGATGTTTTGCGGTTACAATCTTTCTCCGCCAATAGGCGGGAAGTAGAAGCGATTTTCAATTAATCGATTTTTTTTCTCTCATAGTCACATCGGGACTCTGTTTTAATAGCGCCAGAAAAGGAAAAAGAGGATCCACCTATAAGAAGAATCGCATGGCATACATCTAAATCATCTTAATGGCTATCATTATAAAGCAATTATGATCATAGTCGTTTTGTTTTCGGGCATCTGGTAATCTGGTATATAAAAGTTGAATTTCATGCGGTGTTTCCTGGTGAAGTTTCACGTACTAGAAATTATGGTAGTTTACACAGTTACATTAATGAACCTACACTACAAGCATGTCATCCGCTTTAGTTTTTGTATAATTTAATAATCATGCCGACCTCCGCAAAATAATTATAAAATTTTGTCGTTTCTGTTGTAAATTGGAGGACTCAAAGCAGAACCAGATATAAAAAATTAACTAACGCGTCTGCAAACAAATAATAAATTCTATCTAGATATGCAAGTAAAAGCATTTGAATGAAAGTTTTAATTTAGGTTAGTTTTTAATGTAAAAACTACACCATAAAGGTGGCGTCCACCCCTCAAATTCTCACCGTATTTCGTAATTGCGGAATTCCACTTAGGGCCGGTTGTTCAACTTTCGGTTAAACTGTAGATCACCTGAACTCCAGTTAAAATATGAACTTAGTTCAAATGCATGTGCGTTGTTCATCTGTCAGTCAAGCTCGGTTCCACTGAACCTCAAATATGCAGCAGTTGGTAATACCATAAGCATTATGTTATTAGGCACGGAATGATAAGACTTGTCAATAATGTCATTTTGACGTGATTTTGACCGAAGTCATAACCCTACTTTCACTTGCTTTTACTTATAGGCCGAAGCGATAGGTTCAATCTGGAATCATTTTTTGGCGATTTTTTGAAGTTAGCTTGTTATTCTCGACTATAAATATATCGCAACATCTGCAGGAGAGCGGGTAGGTATATAATTGCTTCATTATCTTTCCTATGTTATATTTATTAAAAATATAATTGCTGCTGATTCTTTCTCTTCGTAGTAGTGGATTTATTTCAAAAATGAGTGCACCTAAGAGAACAAGTAACTTTAGCAGGGAAGAAGAATCCCTTTTAATTAGACTGGTGAATAAATATAAAGATGTTATTGAATGTCGTAAAACGGATGCAGTAACAAACTCTTCAAAAGCAAAGACATGGAATATGATTGCAAAAGAGTTTAACAGTGGAGCGGTGACCTACAGGGATAGTAAAACATTGAAGAATAAATACGACAATATCAAAAAAAGGTCAAAGAAGAAGTTCTCACAGGAGAAGTGTTCCCTGTTTGCTACAGGAGGAGGTGCCTCAAAAACAGTTCATTTCACCGATATTGATGAACAAGTCAAAGACATTTTAGGTGTCCGAATAGAAGGACACCCTTCAACGTATGATGATGACATGAGTAAGGAAGCTGGATTGTGTTGAGTGAATATATTTTTAAGTTAATTTTATTTTTAGTTGTCTGTGACATACCTGAGAATGCTACATGCAGGGACTTTATTGAGGAATGTAAGTTTCGAATGTATGTTAAATAATGTACTTTTATTAATTTAAGGTGTTTCAGATGAAATTACTTCAGAGGAGACACAGGAAGTTCAAAACAGTGGTACTAATAAAATAAATAGTTTTGATGTTATCATTTATTTATGATTTTCCAGATAAAGAAAATCAAGAAGTGTCTCATTTAGAAGGTCCAGAGGCCAGTAGTCATCAGGCGGAGGAGGGGAGCAAGTTAAATACATCCCATTTGTGCACACTAAAATCAAGTGCTCTGAGAACTCCAGAAGGTAATCTACATTAAAATCTACAGAACTATTATATAGTCATTACTGCATGCTTTTTATAATGGCATTTATCTTGAATTATGAAAATAAAAAAAACCTATTTTAGAACTGAAATGGAAAGTTTTTCATATTGTTGATTGAATGAGTAATAAAATACTACCTGTTGCTAGTAAATACACAATATATGTGCCTTATTGTGGTGCATCCTCATTTATTCATGATTTTACAGATAAAGAAAATCAAATAGCGCATCGTTTAGAAGGTCCAGAATCCAGTAGACATCAAACGAGGGACTGGAGCAAATTAAGTACATCCCTTTTGCGCACACCAAAATCAAGTGCTCTGAGAACTGCAGAAGGTAATCTACATTATAATCTCCAGAAATATTTCATATTCATTACAAATTTCAAAAAGGAATTGTTACTTCTAGTACTAAAATGGAATGTTTTTGCATGTTGTGCTGTAAATTTTTTTGTTCTTGTTGACGAAATTAGTAATGAAATACTATATGTTGCTAGTAAATGTGGATCACAATAAGATGTTCCTTAAACATTTTAATTTTAGTGAAGACCGACTGCTCAAAAAAAAGGGGTGCTATTTGCACAAAAATGGAAAAATGGGTTGAATCCAAAAAATCATTGGAAGATTCTAAAGAAAAATGCCTTTTGGATGAATTTGAAATGAAAAAACAGCTATTGATGAAAGAAAACAAAAGAAACTGGAAATAATGCAACTAGAGTATGAAGAGAGAAAAAAGAGGGAAGATGAGGTACATAACATTAAAATGGAAATGTTAAATATGGAAAAACAGTATCTGTTAAATAAATATAAAATTTGATTTTCTTAATCTTGCCATCTTATTTACCTATTTTGAATAAATACATAAAATCTCCAATATTCTTTATTGCATCATTTATATCCACTTTCACTTAGTATGAAACGAAGATAACATTAGAAAAATACTAAAAACTGAATTTTTGAATCATTCACAATAAATCCTGGAAATAATTAATTAACAATAATCGTCTCCTATTATTAGATGCATCTTGACCTCCAACTGGGACTGGTACAATATCAAAGTTGTTAATGAATTCAACTGCTGCTTCAATTTCATTATTTATTGCAGGTTGTGGGTCTTTCATGATAATTGCTAGGTTATGCAAGGCTGCTGTTGCAACAACTACTGGCTCAATTTTTTCTTTCGCTACACGAATTCCTAATGCTAAGATGGGGAAACGTCTTTTCCATACCCCGAAGCATCTCTCGACAGGATTCCTTGTGCGAATTTGAGATTCATTAAATAAGTGTTGACTCTGAGTTTCAGGTCGGCTTAGTGGTGTGATTAAATATGGCTTAATACCATAACCACTATCTGCAACCAACAAACTATCGCCAAAATGTCCGGTTTCAAATAAGGCTCGAACTCTACTATTTGCAAATATATTTGCATCATGTGATGCACCTGGCCAACGGCAAACTATATTTTGTATTTTCAAAGTGGCATCACAAATCACCTGTACATTATAGGAAAAGAAACCTTTCCTGTTCCTATAATTCTCTGGGTCTGCACCACCTGGAGATTTTATTTTAATGTGGGTGCAGTCTAAAGCTCCTATGCACCTAGGAAATCTAGCAATATTGAAAAATTCTTGACGTATCGCAGTTCTCTCTTCGCCATTTTCAGGCATTTTTATTAATTCTTTAAAATGGACTGCTAATGATTTTATAACTTTCGACACAACCCTGCTTGCAGTTCCTTTGTCCATACCTTGTACATCCCCTATTACTTGCAAAAAGGACCCAGTTGCAAGGTAACGTAGCGTAACAAAGACCATATCATCTGGCGTGAGGGCATGATTTCTATAAAAAAATAGCTTTTATACACATTTGTCCAAATCCCACCCGCATTATATCATCCCAGGGCCATTCATGTAGAGTGAGTAGCCTTTGAGCAGCTCAGATGGTTTTTGCAAATTCACCGACAATGAAAGAACGATTTTTCAATTTAGATGCAACACAGCATTCCCATAAGTTGGTGTTTGTATAAATTTATAAAAAAATTATGTTTAAAGATATATATATATATATATAAAATATATAAAATTTTAAATAGGTAATGATATTTATTCTTCAATTTGGAGCACAATATGCACCCGTCAGGAATGGCTCTGATACCTAGTAATTATAAATGAACTTACTGTATTGTTATATTTCTGATATCATCTGCAACTTTATCTATTATGGATCTAACAGTACTTTTTGATAACCGAAAACGTTGCAAGAATTGAGTGTCGTTCCAAATCCAAAAATTATCAGGTCTCTGTTTGTAAGTTTTGGGTAACCTGGGTATATGTACGATGGTAATTAATTCTAAAAGTCCTCGTCATCAGTTATCTCTTCGGGAATGTCCATTTTTAAACTTAACACACAACTCCTTCGCTAAACTTTGCTACGATATTTATGTTACTCACATTGAACTGAGTTTAACCGAGGGACATCGACCGGTCAGGTTCTATGCCTACTTGAACTGGGTTCAAGCCTTGAGCTTTATTTGTACAACTGATTTTCAACTTTGAACTTAGTTCAATCTGAACAGCGGTTTAAACTGGAGTTGAACAACCGGCCCTTAATGTATGGCTCTACTTCTAGAAGAAAAGACCGACGAAAGGAAACATATATATATATATATATATATACAGGGTGACTTTGAAGTTGAGTCATTAATTTTCAGATAATGATTGTAGAAGGAAGATAAACCAAAATATGTGTGTAAAAATAAAAAAAAATGTTACCGTGTTTTATAAAGTATCCTCCCGACAAGTATTTCAGTGCGGACCTGTATTTGATCGAGCGGTCTTGGAGCACCGGCATGCCCTCCCCTGTGAGGTCTTAAGTCACCTGATTCACGAGCCCTTTGTACTACATTAACAAAGGCACGAGGGGTTGGTTGCACTCGATTGGGAAACCGATCCGCATAAATCCGTGATGCCGCGTAAATAAGAATCATGTCCACAAGTTCAGCATTTTCGTAAACATGTGCCATTTTTGATTTCGTTTGAGCCACGCAACAGACACCACTATTCACTCACGCGTTACCGACTGACACTGACTGAATACAACTGAATAAAATAATTGTAAAAACATCGTTCCAAATTCTTTCGCTTTTTTGTTTCCGATGCGATGAACCGATAAGGCGGATTATATCCGTTGTTGCCAAACACGAGCACATAATATTATTATTGAGACAGGGCGGTACTCAAACTTCCAAAGGGCTATAACTTTGTTACTTTAATTTTACCAGAAAAATGGTAAAGGAAAAAACATTTCTTTTGATCAGATCTACTCACCCTTTGGAAGTTTGAGTACCGCCCTGTCTCAATATCATGTGCTCGTGTTTGGCAACAACGGATATAATCCGCCTTACCGGTTCATCGCATCGGAAACAAAAAAGCGAAAGAATTTGGAACGATGTTTGTGTACAGTTTATTATTTTATTCAGTTCAGTTATACATACAGTCAGTGTCAGTGTCGCGTGTGAATAGTGTCTGTTGCGTGGCTCAAACGAAATAAAAAATGGCACATGTTTATGCGGATCGGTTTCCCAATCGAGTGCAACCAACCCCTCGTGCCTTTGTTAATGTAGTACAACGGGCTCGTGAATCAGGTGACTTAAGACCTCACAGGGGACCTCACGATCAAATACAGGTCCGCACTGAAATACTTGTCGGGAGGATACTTTATAAAACAAGGTAAAAAATTTTTTTTAATTTTTTTTTATTTTTACACACATATTTTGATTTATCTTCCTTCTACAATCATTATCTGAAAATTAATGACTCAACTTCAAAGTCACCCTGTATATATACAGGGTGTTTCAGTTTATTGTTGCATAACTTTAAGATTCGATAGAACTTTTAAAATTAATGCATAAAGTCTATATAAACATGGGTCGAAAAATGCGTGGCTTCCGAAATACAGGGTGTTTAAATTTACTTTCTAAAATAGTTTTTTTTAAATGTTTCGAACAATATTTGATGTATAACAGTGAAAATTGGTATACAAGGGTTTTTTGGTACAACAAAACCATGGGCATAGTTCTACTGTAGCCGCTAGAGGGCGCTCTCTACTGTACCTGTAGTGTATTAAAATGACCGAAAATGTTATCTTAGTGCAATTTTTTGCCTTTTGAATAAAAAACTGATTCTTCGCACTTTTCAACATAAAAAAGCTCTCTTGTGAATTTTCGTTATAGTTAGCCGTTTTTGAGATATTTCGATTTTTAAGGTTCGATGCATTTTTAATTATTTATGGGAAAATAATATTTTTTTTACATTTTCGATTTGGGCATTACAAGTAATTAAGATGATCGTTTAGATTGTGTTTTTAAACACAGCGATAATTCCTAACTCCCAATAAACACAAAAAAACAGAATATTAATTTGGTTAATTTTCCAATATTATTTTTAACAAATTAAATTAATTATTTACAACTAAAATGCTATTGGATAGTTATGACAAACATACAAAATCTAAAGTAGTTGCTCGAAATGTAAACCCAATTGTTCACACAATTCACATCTACGAATGATCGAATGTGGTATAGCATTATTCAAATAAGGTCTTATTTCATCACATGCATTCCTGATTCTGTCTATTAGCATATCTCTTGTGGTTACGGGAGTCTGGTACACTTTTCCTTTTAGAAATCCCCACACAAAGAAATCTAATGGATTTAGGTCAGGGGATCGTGGAGGCCAGGCGACTGGTCCTCCACGGCCGACCCATCTTTCTGGATAATTTTCGACCAGCCAGTTTCTAACTATTCTCGAATAATGAGCTGGACAACAATCAAGCTGGAACCAGGCCAGTCTTCTTAAATTTAACATAACATCATCCAATACACTACAGGTACAGTAGACGGCGCCCTCTAGCGGCTACAGTAAAAATATGCCCATGGTTCGTTTTGTCGTACCAAAAAACCCTGGTATACCAATTTTCACTGTTATACACCAAATATTGTTAGAATTTCGGAAGCCACGCATTTTTCGACCCATGTTTATATAGACTTTATGCATTAATTTTAAAAGTTCTATCGAATCTTAAAGTTATGCAACAATAAACTGAAACACCCTGTATAGTATGTACAAATTTCTGGCACATGTGATAAAAACGCAGATTATGAACAACGGCAGCAAATGTTGCGGGACACAATGGGAACCTTCCGCGACGACATGAATATTACATACAGGAATGAACACGTCACCTTTCTGATGTAAATTCTAAAAGTTCGCCTGTGTTCAAGTTCCAACATATTTTTTTTTTCATGTAAATTTTGATAGAAGAAATCAATTTTAGTAAAACCCGTTCATTCATTTGGCAGATATTTGGAATCACCCCTTACAATGCCTTACTCTGTATAACCTAAATTCAGTGTCAGTTTTTTGTCTTCAGCGACATTTCTAAATGTGGTTCTGAATTTCCCTTTGTCCCGAGTCCCCTTCATCCCTCGCTCCGTCCCTGTCCTGACTACAGGAAACATGATCAGTGGCTTACCTAAATATTTCTTAGGCAACTGATGTTATCAAAATATGTCGATAGCGCCAGTATGATTGATCATTAGAGCAACAATAGTCATCTAGCCATGAAGAACTGACCTGCCATTCGGTGGACAATCAGCTGATTACATTAGAATATGATTTATGACTCATGTGCCTTCAATGACTTCTTGAACAAAACTAGCAATACACAATAATTATTTTTTAAGTGTTCGTTGGAAGCTACTTCGTATGGGACGGGGGCTTTTATGAGCAGACAGACGGAGTGGCAATGGGAAGTCCACTTAGCCCAGTCATATC